ATTAAAATAGTATATATATTTTTTTATTTGCAGTACACATTTATACCACTTTAATATTTTAGTTTTTTTTTTTACTTTTATCACCACTACTATTACAACTTATTCTTTATATAATTTATTTTAATGTTTATTATATTGTATTATATTATATTATAGTATTAAAAATAATTAATAATTACAACTTTATTTTACATTTAATTTTTACTGTATTGTTGCATATTTGACAATTTAATAAATTTTGACTGAAATCATTTTTAGTTAAGGCTTTTATAATTGTCATGTTATATTATATTATTTAAAATAATTAATCATTACAATTTTTTTATATTTATTTTACTTTCACTTTTTGCTGTATTGTTGCATATTTGACAATTAAGTTGAATAAATTCAGGCTTTTATAATTGTCTTATTATTATACTGCATTATATTATATTAAGTGTTTAATATTCATTTTACTTTCAGTGGTGTTCAGTAAAGTTCTATTATCAGCTAGTACTGTTTTGCTGTGTTGTTGCACATTTGACAAGTAATTGTTCATTTTGACTGAAGTCATGTTCATTAAAGGCTTTTATGATTGTGATTTGGTGGAATTTCACCCAAGGCTCTTTTGAAAAACGACTAAATCTTTCTCAGATTGTGCACATATCCAAGAGGCTCTATTTCAATTATTACTTTGTGATGTTTTCAACCCGTGTTGTCTGAGTACGAGCTTCAAAAAAGGGATTGCAAGATCCACAAGGTTATCGCGGAGGGTGGAAACTCAATTGGAAGAGGTTGCAGTGGTCAGGTCTTTTGTCAACTTTCTTTTGGTGTGATTTTGCAGAGGTATTGGAGTGAAGATAAGGAGCCCTGGTCATTTCTAAACTGCCTTTGGAGTGTGCATGAAGAGAGGAAAAACACATGGAGAATGGAGACAGATATATAACAGATTTTAGTATGGTATAGATTTTATTTGTTGGTCAAGAATCTTAAGAATCATGTCAAGTACTCTTATATTTTTTGTAGGCGCTGTGGTAATCATGTGGACGAAGCTCGTGACATTTCCTGATCCTGTTCCCTCCTTTTCGCCCCATTGTTCTCTCCACTGAGTCTCTAAATACTGAAATGGAAAATGGACAAAATAAAAATGCTTATCTATATTGTACTGTTAAAACACAAATTCCTGTCTAATTTAAAAGTAAATTCATTTACCATAGGCAGTCAATTGTCATCTTCAGTGATGTAGTTTTGTCGTGTCTTTTGAGTTTTATTAAACCACCTGTGGAACAAAATGATGGCAGCTTAAAGTTTACCATAAAACACACAGAAATCATTCACTTTTAGTTGTTTTATCTCGTTTTACACAAACTAGATCAGTTCTGCATGACAATATCTTTTTTTTTTTCTTTTTTTTTAGTTCGCTTCTGTGGTGGCTTTTTTATTGCAGAAGAAGAGCATGTTTAAAATACTTTCTGCTCCAAGTTTGTTATGGAAGTTCAATATAACTATTATATATTGCATATTTTATTATGAATTTTACAGAATTTGACAGTATCTTAACCACTCATACTGAAAAATATTTTATATATTGCCTTTTCTATGTTATGCTGTTGTTGTTATACAGTATAAATAATAATATTGTTAATTTATCATTATTATTAATATTATATAATATACGTGACCCTGGACCACAAAACCAGTCATAAGGGTCAACTTTTTGAAATTGAGATTTACACATCATTTGAAATAATAAACTTTCCATTGGTGTATTGTTTGGTATGATAGGACAATATTTGGCCGTGATGCAACTATTTGAATATCTGGAATCTGAGGGTGCAAAAAATCTACATATTGAGAAAATTGCCTTTAAATTTGTCCAAATGAAGTCCTTAGCTATGCATATTACTAATCAAAAATTAAGTTTTGATATATTTACAGTAGGACATTTACAAAATATCTTCATGGAACATTATCTTTACTTAATATCCTAATGATTTTTGGCATAAAAGAAAAATTGATAATTTTGTCCCATACAATGTATTGTTGGCTATTGCTACAAATATACTCGTGCAACGCATGACTGGTTTTGTGGTCCAGGGTCACATATGCACTATGGCTTTATTGTTTTATGTAATATAGTAGGCTATATGTCATTAATTTGTAGAGCTTCTTGTAAACATTACTTACTAAAAAAAATCATACTTAAAATCAATGACAAGGTTGCAGGTGTTTTTTTGCTAATAGTTTGACCTTGTTTGAGTTTGATTTCTTGTCTCTAGCCTCAGCAGGCGCCTGTTGCACAGATCTACACATTGGCTTTGCTCAATTGCTTTTGTGCCAGATCATTGCAAGCCTCCCAGAACACTTGACCTGTATGAGACTGCAATATTCAAGTAGAAATATCAGAGACAGGCGAATACCACGTAGTCTAGCTCTAGGATACTTCCACAGACCATTTAACCATGCTCTGTCATTCTATAGTAGTGTTTTTCTGTTCCTGTCATCTTCCTTCTATCACTATGAAGCACGGTGTTAGCAATATAGATGATGCTGCATTCATTCAAATCTGTGTACACACTTTTGAGGTCGTTGATGTTTCTCTTCAAGAAAAATTCGGTCTGAAAGCTTCCACAGGTTGCCCTGTTAACGCATAGGGTCTCGTCCTCTCTCGACAGCTTTAATGACAGACAGTAACAGTAACAAGGTATTATGCAAGACGGATATCACCCAGATTACGCCAACGAGAGCTTGAGGGCGTCAGGTCTTTTAAACGAGGTTATCTATGCAATCTGTCACAAATGATGATGGAGCAGGGTAATAAGAGGCATTTTCTCCAGTTCTACAACCTCGAGAGTCAGACAGCAATGTCAGCTTTGCCTTGAATGAATTCTCAGGTTTGACTTCAGAGATTTTCTTGCCACTGTTCAGGGCTGCGGAGACCAGCTTCGCCCAACTCTGGCCCGAAGTGCAAATTTACGCTTTCCCTCATTGAGGTGCATTCCATCCATTACGACTACAATAGGAAGTATTAATAGCTTCTTGTTGGCTTACAATGGTAATTTTTCACCTGTTCGGCTCAGGCCGATGCTTGTGTAAATATAGACCTTAGAGAAATCCGCCTTGTTTGGAGACCCCAAGCCACTTCCACGCAAAAGAACAAAGGGAGCCGAGGGACATCCGTCTACTGCAAGAGACGGCAAACAATAACATGAGAACATTACAAGGAGAAAATGATGAAAGTGGCGAAGGTATCGGGGATGGAAAAAAGGTACATTATTCAACGAATCCTCCAACAAGTGCCGTTCCTGCAGGAGAAGAGCGAGTAACATGCACTCTTCTGGGCTTCAAGGCGAGTGCTGTTGAATTCTGAATTAAATTGCCAGGCTAAGAGTTGACAGTAGAATACCAGGCAGTGGTGTATTGTCATCCCATTGTGTGAATCTGACAGACAGTCGGAGAGGGATCTCATCCAAACAATAAAAGAAGCGAGCCTCATCCGACGGCCCCTCATTGTGTTCCGCACAAAACCCTTAGCAGTGCACCTGTTAGCTTTGCCTTTCCAGTTTGATATCAGTCGAGATGGGGAAAGGTTGTTTCATGTGTTGTAGACATGTAATTCTAGAATTGAATCCTCATACATAGATTGGAGCTCGTGCCTGGTGCTTTCTGCATAAATTTGCGCTCGTCTGGGGTATCGTTCACCGTGCTTAATTTAGTCCGACGGACGCTTCAGCAGAATACACACAGCGCCGTCAAGAGGCACTAAAGCGAACTGCAGCGGATTTTTTGCACTTGTTCTGCACAAGGCTGCGACTCTGAAAGTGGAGGAGCAGGCATGCTTGTCGTGTTCCCTAGTGGAATGGCATCAGTCTCTGTGTGAACTGAGACTTGGAAAGAAAGTGCCGGGGCTGCTGGTGTGTTATCTGTTTTTCGGAGTAGTGCATTCTGGGAGAGCAGATGTGACTTTAGGGGCTTAGCAGAGATCAGACAGTGACACATGGTGGAGCTCAGGGACTGTTCATGGGATATTCACCTCTCAGTCCATCCTCAGATATTGGCCTGCAAGCTGACCGCCGTTTGTCATGGAGCTCTGAACTATCTTACTTTTAAGCAATGTTCATTTGTAGTTTAAAAAAAAAAAGGTTATTTTTTTATAAAATAATTACACGGTATGCTGGTTGATTAATTTAATTAATCATAATTAAAGTTGATTTTTTTCTTTGAAAATCCCCCAAATTGGGATAACTGAAAGACATTATTATGGCAGATGAGTAAATAATTTAATATACACTAGAGTTCAAAAGTTTGGGTTCACATGGTGGAGCTCAGGGACTGTTCATGGGATATTCACCTCTCAGTCCATCCTCAGATATTGGCCTGCAAGCTGACCGCCGTTTGTCATGGAGCTCTGAACTATCTTACTTTTAAGCAATGTTCATTTGTAGTTTAAAAAAAAAAGGTTATTTTTTTATAAAATAATTACACGGTATGCTGGTTGATTAATTTAATTAATCATAATTAAAGTTGATTTTTTTCTTTGAAAATCCCCCAAATTGGGATAACTGAAAGACATTATTATGGCAGATGAGTAAATAATTTAATATACACTAGAGTTCAAAAGTTTGGGTTTGGTAAGATGTTTTTGAAAGAAGTCTCTTGTGCTCACCAAATATTAATACAGTTTAAAGCAGTTTTGGAGTAATGATGCTGAGTTTTCAGAAATCATGCTAATATAATGATGTCCTCCTCATGCAATACTTGTTTTTTATTATCAATGTTGGAACAGTTGTGCTGCTTAATATTCCTTGATGAATAGAAAGTTGAAAAGAACAGCATCTATATGAAATAGAAATCTTTTGTAACATTGTAATTGTCTTTACTGTCACTTCTTGACCAATTAAATGCATCCTTGCTATATAAAAGTATTAATTTCTAGAAAAAAAAACGTACTGACCCTAAACTTGTGAATGGTAGTGGCTTTAGAAGTTGATAACGGTACCTTTTGAAATCTTGTTTTTCAGAGCCAACAATCATTACAACAGCTCCCAACACGCTGGACGTGACCGTCGGTGAGAGCATCATTCTTCCCTGCCAGGTGTCTTACGATCCCTCTCTGGAGCTCAAATTCACCTGGTTTTTCAACGAGCAGCTCATCCACTTCGGCAGCCACGGAGGATACTTTGAAAAAGTTGGCGGAGTAAGAAGAAAATGATTACAAATACCCTACTCAGTGATTTAGATATTTATACCACATCCAGAAGTAATACTGGGATTACCAAGATAAAGTGAATCGTTTTTGGCTGGTCATGTGATCTCATCATGACAGTCACCATAAAGTGTGACGACCCTTAAATAAAATAACATAAAAATCTAAGTTACTAAACAAAGCCATAGTTTGTTTTTAATTAGTCATTTTACTCTCTTTTAAAAATACTACAAACTAATACAGTGTCTGTTAGCTGGTACCTGGTTCAGGGAGCCAGACAGTATTCACTTCACATACACATATGCAAATTTATAGAAACTGTAATTGGTCATATATTATACTTAAGGTATTCATATCGAGTACTTTCAACTGAATTCTTGGGGGGAAACATTTAATCCTTTCATTAAATTCCACAGTTTTGAGTTTGTGAATTTATGATAAGAGATTTTCCCATTATATGTGCAGCCACTGACAACCCCATTCTGTATTAATCTAGAATATAATTAGGCTTCCCTCTCAGTGATGTGAATTACAGCACTTGTACAGTCACATGCGTTTCTTTTCAAAAATCCTTAAAACATTATAACAGTGTCCACAAATGTAACCCTGGTCCACAAAAGGGTCTTTTTTTTAAATTGAGATTTATACATCATCTGGAAGCTGAATAAATAAGCTTTCCATTGATGTATAGTTTGTTAGGATAGGGCAATATTCAATAATAGGACAAAATATGGAGAAAATCGCCTTTAAAGTTGTCTACATGAAGTTCTTAGCCATGCATATTACTAATCAACAATTCAGTTTTTATATATTTATGGTAAGAAATTTACAAAATATCTTCATGGAAGATGATCTTTACTTAATATCCTAATGATTTTTGGCTTAAAAGAAAAATTGATCATTTTGACCCATACAATGTATTGTTGGCTATTTCTACAAATATACTCGTGCGACTTACGACTGTTTTTGTGCTCCAGGGTCACAAATCAGCACGAAATCAGCATATTGGAATGATTCTGAATGATCATGTGACACTGAAAACTGGAGTAATGATGCTGAAAATTCAGTTTTGCCATCACAGGAATAAATTACATTTTAAACATTAAAATTAAAACATTGATGTAACACTTGCTGTATTTAATCAAATAAATGTAGCCTTATTAAGGATTAAAGACATCTGTCAAAAAAAAAAATTCTTATCAATACTTGTGAACAGCGGTGTAAGTACATTTTAAAACAAATAATGACAAGCTAATTAGACATAGAAATAAGCATAGGAGAAATAACTTTATTTAAATAAGAAAAAATCCTTTCTCTATACCCAAACTGTAATTCCTTACCATGACTTTGATCTTTCTCTTTTAGCAGCACTCGGCAGGTGACATCATGATCCGGAACATTCAGCTGAGGCATGCTGGGAAATACACGTGTGCTGTGCAGACCAAGGTGGACAGCAGCTCCATCGCGACCGACCTGGTTGTCAGAGGTGAAAATGCTTTAAAACCCATACAGCCCATTCACATTGTACATATCACATTTTATATATACAGACATAATCTTCTGCACACTGTGACTATTGAATATTACACGTCGATCATAAAAACGTACTGGATACAGTGTTACAGACTGTTAAACAAGCCCTTGAAGCAATGTAAGTATTTACCAAACGGAGGAAAGATGTGCTGGTTTTCCTGCTTTAGCAAAAATTACCCATAAAAAATGAGACATAATCTAATTAGGGCTTTTAAGCCAGTGAAAACATGTAGCTCAGAGTTAACCAGCTGTACTGCTATGCTTTAGGCGGCCGTTTATATGCAGCCTAGAAGCGTGACAACTTGTGTGTGTGTGTGTGTGTGTTTCTGGTTTGCATGGCTGTCTTCTGTCTCAGGTCCCCCCGGCCCCCCTACCAGCATCCATGTGGAAGAAATCACAGATACCACTGCCACTCTCTCCTGGAGGCCTGGTCCTGATAATCACAGTCCAATTACTGCCTACACCATCCAGGCTAGAACCCCTTTCTCCCTCGGCTGGCAAGCTGTTAGCACAGGTGGGGCTTCTAACCAGCCTTCACTGATCAAAACATTTGGTGCATAGTTTCCTATTTTCGCCACCCTGCTTTTTCCTCTCCTATTATGTAGTGAGATTTTCATCTTGTTTCATTGTTTTTGTATGTTTGTTTATTTTTGCTTTTCATGCCTTGCTAAACTGCATTTGTGAAATGACTGTTTTTTTCTACATGTAATTTGCTTTGTCTTTAGCTTGAAGCAGAGAATCCAAAAATGTTTAGCGAAATGTTGAGGCTGCTCTTTTCCATACCATAAAAGTGGTATACATGGGCCATCAAGCTAAATAAATGACTAAAGGTATCATGATAGTACCATAAAATGCCATATGACTCATGTGCCGAACTTTTGAAAGCTTTCGATAAATTTATGCAAGGAAAAAAATGTAATCTAATTAACATATATCAAAGTCCCTTTCAAGGAAAGTCTGTTCACTCAGTGACCATATTTGTTACTCCTCATGCTGCAGCTCATACAACACCAAGTCTCATCTAAATGAATGGGGGAATCCTGAAATTTCAATTTGAACTTACAATTAAATTACATATTTCAAATCAGCAACAAAATCTGAAATGAACTGCCCCATCATGAATGTTGTTTCTTCAGACTAGACCAGCCAATGCGTATGCACAATCACAACGCACTTATGACTGCGCATGCGCTTTGGCTGGTCTAGCCTCAGGTTTCTATGGAAACCGGAGCTTCTAAGGCTGCTGCAGTGATGCAATGACTTTACCAACCAGTGATTGGCTCATTCATTTAGAAGGCGGGACTATTCCGCAATATTGCATGCTGCAGTTTCTCCCGTTCATAA